AGATTGCTTTCCCCAAATACCATTCTAACCCCCTCCCCCCTCCCCGGAGGTCTTGCTTTTACAATGACCGAGGATTGAGAAAGGGGGACCTTCGAGTGGGAAGTGATGATATTTACCTTCAAGTTATTTCTAGTCAAAAGTTGGCGTGGTCACCCGGCTCCCAACGGTCGCGGCTTCACAACACAATTGGAAGCATGTCGTTTTTTAGCCATGTGTGTAATTCTGGAGCAAATGGGTAGGGATAAAACATTCTGCAGATGCTCCATCCACAGTTAGGCTTCATGTAACATTAAGATTTAAATCTTTGGCTTTGCTCTACTCCTAGCTTGAATACGATTGTAATAAACTCGCTGGTCGAGCGACTTTACCTTGGCTACCTATTTATTGGTAGAGTAGACTCTAGCTAAGAAAGCCCTGACCATCCCTCCACTACTTACTTTTCTTATTGAAGCTCTTCAGTGAGTTATTAGATACCAATCGTCCTTCTATGAATTCTGACTGCATAGATCTCTTCATAGTTGATATTGTGCCAATATTCGGGATAGACAGTAGTTCTATTCAATCATATGTCTCTGCTGGTTTTTTTTTCAATCACGCTCCAACTCTCGCTGGAGAGCCTGTCGGAATTGCGAACTTAGTAAGACTGTGGCATCAAAAAGCATGAAGCGCATCAAAAAAATCGGGATATTGGTTCTTCGGACCTCCATCACGTGTGTCGCTGAGTCTCGCAATTAGCACAGACCGTTACTGGAAGCAGAGTTTACGTTTATATTCTTGAATATGAACGCAATATCTCGTTTTTGTTCGCATCTTATTTTCTATGCACATGTAACAAATGGTTTGATTTGTGTCTTTTAGTTCCCTTTTTAGGTAATAATGGCAGATGAAAAGTATGATGCCGTTCTCTTCTCCTTGGCACAGCAAATGCCCGGTGGTGTTCCTGATCTTTTCGATGTCCTGTTTAGTTTTTTGTCAAGGTATGCAGACATTTAACAAGAATTTTCGTACAACCACATCGGGGAAAGGGTTTGTGCAAAATGTTCAACATCATACCACCTTCCCTAGGAGCAGTTTGACCTTGTAGGCGACAGCTTATCATGGTAGTCCATGATAATCACGGCTCCATATTCTTCCAGCGAATTGAACTACTCACACCGTGCCAGTTATTTGGTATTGACTTCGATTAGTAGAATAAAAGCATCAGCTATCTCACAAGGAATTTTGTGACCAAATCACATTCAAGTGCCACACTAGGTTTTTGAATGGCAGTAGAGTGCATGACGCATGCGAGAAGATATTTCAATGCTAAGCGCTTGACCATTTTTCACCGATTTCTTGAATTTGTGCGTCTTTTTATCTTTTTTGTTTGGCTGATTTGCCCTTTTCTAGTAATTTCTTCTCGTTTTCTTCGAGCCTCGTCCCACTATACTTCTCCCTAATTAACTGCTCAAGTTTGTATTAATATGGTCGACTAGGCCTTGAACAAATCGCGACTCCAGCCGACTGCCGATCCTTTCTGTAGATTAGTGTGCTGGTGTGAATATCTCAATTTCTGTCAGTAAACGTAGACCGAAGTTCACTCGCCAGTGAATTGAGTTAAGTGTGAGATCTTCACCGAAAGTTGTTCTATATCACTAAAAAAATCATTTAGAGATAGTAACTACTTCGTTAGTATGAAATCAGCGCGCGCAAATTGTTTCTAGGAGCGATACTCACTTCATACTTGCCATTGAGTCTCTTCTGTTATGGCCTCACTGAGACATCTCCACAGCTTTTGAAAACTTGTCTTTTTAGCACCTATGCAGGAAGTTGAAAAGTTTTTGACATTGAAGTGTCATCAGCTATGGTTTGGGTGTAAAACTGAGCTATAATAAGTTCTGATCTTTCTGGTAATTCTCCTTGAGTTTCTGCGGTTTGTCTAGCTGAATGCTAGCCGCTCGTAACAATCGTGTTTCTCAAAGTCTACCTTCTGTAAGTTAGGGTGATCAAGTCAGTGGTCTACAAGTCAGGGTTGCTCAGTAATCAGCATTTCGGGATATAAAAAGTTTTTCTATTTCAAGGAAAACCGATTTCTACTCCGGTGCTGGAATCGATGAAGCACGAAGTTTGGTAATGAAATATTTCGAGAAGCATGGCAAGGAAGCAGCCCAGGTAATGTTTGCTACGTCGTCATAATAGTTTCGCTATCATATTCAGTTCTCAGTGAGAATTTTATAGTGCACTCTTGTGTTACTCACATCCCACATTATAATGGTTCATTGTAACCATCCTCATCCATGACTAAACCAAGAAGTCAATTCAGAGTTTCCTGGTCGATTTCCCCTGTCCCTTCCCCTCCCAACTTTGCGATTTTTCTTATAGTGTGAAAGATTAGATGGTAGAGTCTTAGTCTTCAATATAGTACATTCAAAAAGTGTATTATCAATGTTCTATCAGTTTTGCTCCGCACACTAACGCGTGCGCCACATATGCCTTCAGCAACATGGACCGAGAAGCCCATTTTTTTCTATTTTGACCCCATCTATCTCGGCGCACGCTCCGCCTCCGTTCGTTCTTTCCTGTTTTGCTAGACTATCAACTTTTTCTTCGTATCTAGAATGTTTCGGAATCTTATCACAAGTTCTTGCTCCCAACCACGCCTACTATGGCGCACGCCCCGCTCATTACAAATATTCGACCTCTGTTCTTCCCTTGAGCTGTGAACCCCTTTCTCGGTGTCTAAAACCTCTTGGAGTTGAATAGTTTCGGCACCAAATGAGGGCATGCCCTGACCATCGTAAGCGGGGTTTTGCTCACTTTAAGAACAGCACATCTTAGATATTGCTTAACACTATTCATTTCTCTGAGCTCTACTTCACCCTGGATCCAGCTGTTGATCATTTCAGTATGCGCGTTATTTAGTGAGTGCTTTTACCACCGCGGTCAGGTCTTCAATCTCATCTCCCATGTTGCTCATCTTAGCTCAGCCCTTTGTTCTTTTCTCTGTCTGCTCTAGAACTGAGGTATAGATTGTGCAATGGCACCGCCCATTTCGGTACGTGGCCCTCCCACAGTGAGCGAATCATTCTTTAAAGCTTTTTGGGAGCTCTGATGTAAGTTCTTTTCAGAAAGCAGCTGAAATCAAAAGAAAGAAGGAGGAGGAAGAGAAGAAACTTGCAGCAAAACGAGCTGCCCAAAAAGCCAAAGAGGAGGAAGAGTTTAAGGTAATTATTTTGTCCTGGCAAGTGTGAAAAGCGCTATCGCTCGCTCGAATGTGGAAAAGACCTGTCTTTCCAGGCAGCACAAGCAAAGCTGCAAAGTGAGAGCAAGATCGAGGAAATAACCGACGCAGAAGCTGAAGAATTTGAGAAGAAGCAGTATGATCGAACTTTTTATTGCCTTCTTCATAATTAAGGCCACAAGTTTTTGAACATTGCAGTGGTGAAAAGCGAGTGCTGTCTGACCAAGAAAAGGCCGAAGAGAAGAAAGCCGACGACAAAAAGCCGTCAGGTAGTGGAGATGATGATGATGAAGGAACTGGTCTAATGCCTAACTCTGGAAATGGTGCAGATCTAGAAAATTACCAGTGGACTCAAACTTTGCAGGAGGTTGAGGTAAAACTTTGAACTCGGCTACTTATGTCATTGTTTCGCTGTTTGCTTTACTTATTCTACTGGCGGAAAACTTTAGGTGCGAATTCCATTCAAAGTTGGTTTTCCACTGAAATCGCGCGACATCGAAGTCAAAATCGAAAAACACCACATTCGTGTCGCTTTGAAAGGACATCCTCCGATAATCGATGGTGCCTTGCATGCTGAAGTATGTAGTTTTTGCTCGTTCTCTTTTTCAATGTTCTTTCTTTTTCGTCGTGATCACATCCTTACTCAGATCAAAGCGGATTCGTCAGCATGGGTGCTCGAAGATAAGAAAACTGTGATGATTACCTTTGAGAAGGTAAGTAATACGAATGTAATTCAGAGTTTTCTGTCTTTATTTTGAAATTGTAGTGCTTCTGAAAAGACGATGAAAATAGAAGTTATGATTTCGTGAAAAATCTTCCAGTTGAACCAGATGAGTTGGTGGACCTGTGTTGTGAAAGGTGATCCAGAGATAAATACAAGGAAGGTTGTGCCTGAAAACTCGAAATTGTCAGATCTTGATGGTGAAACCAGGACCATGGTAAGTTTGCGCCATGCTCCTTGATACTTTCCACTACATTCTGATTTAGCCGATTTCTTTCTATCTTCGCGTTTTTCGCATTACACATTACACTCGACTGTTGTTTATAGGTAGTTTAAGTTTTGAGTTCAGGTGGAGAAAATGATGTACGATCAACGCCAAAAGGAATTAGGGCTCCCTACGAGCGAAGAGAAGAAGAAGCATGATCTTTTGAAGAAGTAAGTTTGGTATTTTCAAATGAAATTTTGTATTCATCAGCTGGTGAGCCCAATTTTTTTAGGTTTATGGAGCAACATCCGGAGATGGATTTCTCAAATGCAAAGATTGCCTAAGTGGCCACATTTTGCGCGTTCTATTTTGTTTCTATTTTCCAGTGACGTTCCTTTGTTTATAGTTGTATAAGAGCCTGTTGATTGAGATATAGAATAAGCACAAGGTACTAGTGTTTCGAAAAAGCATTTTTTCTCCGAAACGGAGCCAAGTTGCTAGCTGCCTTTTTGCGCGGCTGATCGGAGTAAAATTAAGGAGTATCTTGAGCATTTTTTCAACCGTATAAGTGAGCTTTCTGAATTCCACTATGCCTCCTTAATGAGGACGAGTATTATTCCCTTCACGGATTTTTGGAAAGGAAAATTCAGTAGGTTATACTACTACCTTTGTGTTTCCTTTATTCTTACAGAAAAATCCCAATTCGTGTTCTCTTTCCATCCCCGTGATTTCGCTTGTCCTTTTGTTTGTTTTTTTTGTGTTTTTTTTTGTTGATTATGAAGGTTTTTCTTTGTTTTAATTGTAGCTATGAAAAGTGATTTGATTGATTGAAGCTTCGAAAATTGTAGTTTGAAATTCAATGTGCCCAAGTTATTGAAAGTCCCTGTCGTTTGGTGAAATACTTTTTGAATGCTATCGGAGAGTATAGCATTCAAACAAATGCAAGAACACCACGTGTGAGATAAAAAGTGCAGGCGGACATAGGGCCAACACACTTTTTCTTCCCCAGGAAAGGCCAAGACGATTAAAGAACCCGATGTGCGATTGCCTCGAAGCTGTATGCGTCCAGATGAGGTTTCAAATAGTTCCAATGTGGTTGTATGTGGCTACTGAAAAGCTTGTCAGTGACTACGATAGCCGCAAAAGTTTTCCGCAAGTAGGTTCATTACCGTATCATCTAAAAACCGATTTGGTGTACTGGCAAAGGGCACGTCTGCTGCCTGCATAACAAGTAAGTCAAACTTCGCGGAAGCATATTAGAGAGCGTCCTCCATTTATAACTGCTCGAATTCTGGCAGAATTTTCTGTCAGTAGAAACACTGTCTTCTATTCAACTTACTGGAGTGGACCATTGTATGGGGCAAATACGCATTCAAACAGATCAGTATACTAGGTGAAGGTCGCACGCATGGCGCATTACACGACTTAACGACCCCAGTCTGTTTTTCCTCTTACCTCGTGCTCTTATTGAAATATTAATTGTGGAGATAGAGCAGCTTAGCAGAGTGAATGGCCCTTCATTCTTGAAAGGATAAATGGGATCATGTAATCAGAGGTCTTGGTACGGAAGTTCTGTTCCCTTGTGCCCAGACTTTTCATGCCCCAAGGAAACTGCGTTTTTCTGAGATGAGAAGGTGTTCATGAGTGCTGAAGACACTATAAAAAGGATTTCAATTCATAAAAAAGTACAGCAGAGAATGTCTCACAAGGCGGAGGTGTACAGGAGTGGCCAAAAAAGACATTTTGCCCATGGCACTTCGGCCCTTTTCAGATTGCCGTCGTTGACGGAAGTTCCTCAGCAAGTATTCCCTAAATGTCCCTCTATAAGTAGACGCAGGCCCTCCTTCACTGCCCTCACCGTCTTCAGAATATGACGTCATCTGTCACCGTCGTCAGGCTCAAGGAGGTCTACCGTAGCCTGAAGCTCTTACGCAATTTCGTGAATCGATTCAATGTTGGATAGTTTTCTAGAGGCATTAGCTCCCACTAAAATCCCCTCGAAACTAGCTTTCCAGTAAAGGTCGTTATGGTACACGATCCTTCGAAGACCCCATTGAGCTCGACCAGTGCACCATGTTTCCAGGGCAAATTCTTCTGATGCCGTCCACGTAGGTGGCCACTATGAAGATTTATTAAATGGAATGCACTCTTCAATAATAAGTTGGAACCGTTCGGTATTGAATTGAGCAAGAGTGTGAATAAATCCATCCGAAAAAAAATGTTTTGTATGTGGCAGCAAAGGACGCCGATTAGGATGCGCTAGGCGGAATTCAAATCTTATGGTTTTCTCACATAGACCAAGCAAGTACTACTTTCTGGTCTTGCGATGAGTGCATAACTTACCCGCTTACCTCCTCCTCCTTGTACTAAAAAAAATAGGATAGAATTACATCGTCTTTACTCGGGCGCAATGGTGGAGTGACAGTGGCAGTTGTTACGGGCACGGTCCAGGATCAAATCTTGGATCCCCCGTCGTTCAAGACATGCAGGCTATCCATCCCTCGTGGGTCGATAATTGGTGCGAGGTTTGTTTGAGGGGAAGATACTGGCCTGGACATCGGCCTGGCCTCGAGATCACTGTGTCGATAGGATCACATTCAAATGAAATCACGATATTTGACGGAAGTAAAATGCGTGCTGTATCCCTTGGGAGTTGATTGGTACTGAACGTGCATAAGGAATAAGAACAGCGTGTAGTAAATCTGTTGGCTTTGCAATTTGGAACAGATCGCATTTTTGTCCCTGCGATTATAAGTGGCAGCAGGATGCGTGGCGCATCCCAAAACTTAGCAATCCTGGAAGGTTTTTTGATAGAATGGGCTAAATACTTATATGTTTTCATTGAGCAGCGTATTTTAGTAATTCGTAAAATTAGAAGTAAGCTTTCCAGCAGCTTAGCACAAGTAAATAAACATCTCCAGTTTTATAGTAACGTCAACAACCAGGTCAATAACGCCCTCAACGCCGTGCTCGTTGTACGACGAACACGCCGGGCAATGGTGGACTCGTGTTTTTTGTACTTTGACCCCGTTATCATTCTCACAATCAACACTCCTGTACTGCATCCGTGCTAATTCTCTTGTAATATTTTTCCTAATATTTGTCAACATCATCTTGTAATGTTTAGAAAGTTTATTTGAGCTTGAATTAGATTTGTCAAATTTTTCAGCTGCTTACTAACCTTTGGTCCACGTGGCGATGGCTACAAAGACTGGTCAGTTGTAAAGCGTTTGATAAGCTGCTTTTACTTTGCGGAATTAAGGAGGGTGACGCATCAACTACTTGTTTACAGGTATCTTCATAGTGGGCGCAAAACGAACGGCATTTGGCACGTTCGGAGGAAAACTGAAAAATCACACGGCAACTGACCTCGGCGTCATCGCCACTATCGCCGCACTTGAACATGCCGGCGTCAAAGCCGATAATATCGATCATGTCATTTTTGGTGAGTACTTTTAACTTAAAATAATTCTTCTTTTCAATTTGAATATGTTGGTAGGGTTTTTTATGCAATTTCAATGGAGAATTGAGAATGAATGACACAACTATATCGACGTACGCGGCGCATTACACTGAGTGAACCTCTCGGTTCTACTCAAGTATTACAACCTCGGCGAGCAAAAAATTTCTCCGATTGAACTTTATCCGCAGTGATAGTGAACAGTCTTGATCATGAGCACTGGCATGAGGTTTCACGCGAGTTGAGCTAACAATTTTCCACCAATTAGCTGAAAACCCTGCATTGATCAATTTCAATGAATTCGGAAGCATACCCTCCCTTCAAAAAGCGAGAAAGTGTCGGGTGCAGACCAAACACCACAACTGACGACGGCCTCCAAGTAAATCTGGTTAGTAGTGGTTCATAGTGATAGCTGATTTTTGGTAAATGATAGTTGTAATTAGTGACAACTGATAGAATACAACTGAATCATTTCATTGGCAAAAAACATTTGCATTTTGTGGAGGCCGTCGTCACTTGTGGTGTATGGTCTGCACCCGACACTTTCTGGCTTTTTGAAGGGGAGGGTACGTACTCATCTTATGGCAGTCGAAGATGCATGGGATCTTACCTGGAAAATAAGAGTAAAAAATAATTGCACGTTGCCAGATTTCGGGAGAAAAAAAAGCAACACTAAAAAACAAAAATGACCCTAGTGAGGTTGGGAGGTGGATTGAATTGGCTCTTTGCAAAATGGTGGCTCCTCAAGTACCGCTAAGTGATTTAGAAAGTTCTCAGTTCTTGATCGTTCAAGCGTTTTTGCGCGCTATCGCAAGATACGGGGCCATCCTCTAGGACTCGCAAAGTATAGTCAATGGTCTCTTCGGCCATATGGAATGAATTGTATACTGCTGAATTACGGACCTCGAGACGCTGAGCTCAAATCTGCATTCGTTATCTGAGAGAAATTACGAGAGAGAAAAGCGCAGCGGTTGTGACTTGACTCACAGCGCGAGGTTCGTGGATCGGACTCCAGTCTGCGATTCAGTAACTTAACCTCTTCGAGAAATGTGGTAGAAAAAGCTAGGAGAGAACCAGGGTCAACCCTACGTTGTTACGAGTAACAACGGGGGGGGGGGGTACCTGGTTGAGTTTGTAGGAGGGGGTCGTACCCGCTTCAGTCGCTTGAAATCACATGTGAGTTTGAGGTGAAACTGAAGTTTTCGTGGGTAGTAGGCTGGGTGAGGTTGAGGGGCGCAGGAAAAAAGGCAAAAAATTTGCCGTGCTTACGCGCTTAAGTAACCGACCTCCGCGCCCCGGCCCGACGGTATTTTTTAAGAGAAAAATGGCGGAGCTTGGTGGGTTGGTTGACTGCCGTATTCTGAATAAACACGCACCCCCATTGACGACCGCGTTGCGCGTACTCTTCAACATTTTTTCGTATTCTTTATTCAATAAGCAATAATCCTTTTCAGCGTTTGTTTATCAGTAATGGAAAATATTTTCCGGATCAATAGTCGTACGTTGGACGTTATCCGCTGGCGAAAATAACGCCAAACAAATCAGGAAAGCATAGCTCTGCTCCATGGCAAGGTGTGTATGACCATCATACTCACAAAGTCGTCAACGTGTTAATACTTTGGAGCATATGATTGAGTTCGTGCTGCGGAAAGGGGTCGCAATCAAACCTGGCCTTGGGGGAAGGGGGTCGTAAAATTTTTTTCAAAAAGTCACAACGATTAGGTCGTACTGCGCAGGAACTCGGTGGAAGTGGAAGTTGCTATGCATACTGATCTCATTGGCCCGCCGAGACTCAGTTTTTTATTTTCATCAAAAGAAGTGTTCATACTGCCATCACAATGCCCCTGTATCTTGCGATAGCGCCCATTTTTGTAACAGATATACCAGCAAATGGGCTTTGACGGAAGAAAAGTTGTGGCGCCAATCCGGCATCAAAAAAGATCCTGATAAGGAGCGCCAATCGATCTTCCATATGGAATTCACGTCGAGCCGAATGATACTTTTTGCAAAAAGTTGTAATGGCTTGAAACAGCACGGTTGCGGCCTAGAAAAAAATTGCAGGCGAGACGTGAACCTGACTCCACTCAGCCAGCTGAGTCAGTGCGTTCTGTATTGTGGGTGCCACATTAGACGAGTGTCCTGAGCAGGTTAAAGAGGGCTAAACGTTGAAATTTAGAATGTGTAAAGCATAGCATAGGCATAGCGCATATGCTGCCGACACGCCCCCCACTCGTCCGTGATTGGCTACCACCACAAGGGTTACTGCGTGCAGACACGAGCCAGCCAGTCAGAGACTAGTGGGCGTGTCGGCAGCATATGCTGCCGACACTGCTGCGGCCCGTAACTCGGTGGTTTCTGCTGGAGCATTTCGTATAACTGGACTGATTGGATGTGAGTAATCACTCTTCGAATGGTACAGGGTGGCTACCAAAGTGGGTCGGCTACGTATATTTGCAAGCAAAAATTATTATGAATAGGATGCATTCTTTTCTTAATGTATGGCGCTCAGAAGGGCGATCGCACGTTGATGAGCGATTACTTAATTATATTGAAAAATGTACGTATAGGTTGGGCCATTGAGGAGAATTAGGCGATTAATCGATGCAGGCGAGGTACGATAGGCCGATCGCTCTGATGGGCGGAGCACCAAATCGCATGTACACATTCCTTCTCTTATCGCCTATCTCGTCCTACTGCTTAACCGACTGCTCGCCTGGATTCGCCGAATCGGGCCTACTCGCCTGATCGCGCTAATTATCACGTATTACTTCTTCCTTGCTGCAAGCATCGCGCTAATCGCCTAATCGCCGTTACGTATAACAACTGATGACGCTCATAGAGATGATGGTGTGTCAAAGTTGGTGAGATATTGTAAAGCGATCATTTAATCGAGGACCTTCGAAGTGATTCACGCTTTGGGCCAGCTGCATAGCTCTTCTGGGTATATCTAGGTAAAGATTTACACGTTGAGCCGCAAAAAAGTGACATCAATCTTCTGCCATTTCCTCTGAAGCGCTGCTTTCAGACTGTCCATACTGCGGGAGGAGGAAGCGATCACTTTCTGCTTGCAGATAGCTCCAAACAGAATAGTCATAGATTGAGTCTGGGAATTCGATGGCCACATGTATTTGTCCAGAATCCAGCTCAAGTTGGCAGTAAGAACTCGTAGATTTCGACCATGTGTGGCGCCAAGTCTTGTTGCAAAATAAAATCGCGTCCTTCAAAGTGTTTATGGGCCCACGGCATCAGTGTGGCAAATTCGTCGACTTTGGATCCTGATGTAAGGTCTGACCGCCAGCTGACCTTTTGAAACCTGCGAGGCGGCGAAGTGCGTGGCGCGTTACAAGTTTAATGGATATTCTAATGAATTTCTTCCTTGCTTGCCTTTAATTTTAACCCCTCCTCCTAATAGTTTTCAATTAGGTAATGTTATCGCAAGCTCCAAGGATGGCATATATCTGACACGGCATATCGGACTAAAGAGTGGCGTTCCTCAGAATGTAGGAGCTCTTGACAGTGAATCGTCTCTGCGGATCTGGGTTCCAATCACTGATCAATGCTACACAGGTGATTCCACTCATACTGGGTAAGACTTACTAAGATCTGAAAAGCCTCATTTTCAGCCAAATTAAACTCGGTGAATCAAAACTTATCGTGGCCGGAGGAACTGAAAACATGTCTCAAACCCCTTTCGCTGTTAGAATACCCGATTTGGCACTGCACTTGGAGTGAAGTATGAGGTGAGTTGAAGATATCTTCTCACATCTTTATGATGCTATTTTTCATTCTTTGTATACTTCATCCGCAGAAGAATCCTTCCTCAAGCAAAGAATTATTTTTGATGTGATGATCTGCTTTTCACAGGAGAGTCCCCAATTCATTCGATATGAATATGCATAAAGTAGGTTCTAGACAATGAACTTCGGTACGGACCTGTAGCTGCGACGCGACCGCACGCGTCAGCGCTCGCATTTCTCGCTTTGTCCATTATCAAAACTCTTTGCACAAACATCGAATAACTTCGTATTACTCTATTCGGAGAAGGAAAAGTGGTGAAAGCGGTCACTCCATTCACAGAGTTATTAGGTATATCAGTTGTATCAGGAGATATCCCACTGAAGTTTAGCGGATGAGTTATGTGTGTTAGTGGTCGAGAGCTATGCTTGTGGGAATCGTCAGAACTGATATCAGTACGCCAAGTGACTTGCTAATGGCTCAGACTGCAGAGAAGCTCGCGAGCGGAAGTATGAAGGCGTGCAGGTCTTGCCGCATTCATCCATGGGGCGCGTATTCAATCCTTCCCCCAGGGGGATATATCCCCCTACTCTGATTCAATCCTCTGGGGGGACAAAAAAAGGGGTTGCGTCATAGGACCTCGCAGCCTCCTGTGTTTCTACCTGCCAGACAGTTAGAGCAGCGCGACCCTCGAAGAAAGAAGTGTGTCATCCAGTAAGGGTTGGTCGTCGCTGCGTTCCCAATCTGTCTGCTGCAGGGAGAGACACGAGTGTTCTAGGGGGGTGCCTATGAGCGCAACCATTTTTTGTCTGCCAAGGGGATTGAGATGCGAGCAGGAGGGCCGCGACTATAGTCCATTTTTGTCCCCCAATGGTGAATCAGAGGAGGGGGATATATCCCCCTGGGGGAAGGATTGAATACCGCCCCATGCATCTCAGTCTCGGCAAGTATGGCTTATGCTACAGCAGAAGTGTGAGGCTACTTTCGTTCTAGGTGACTCGTAATGACGCTGACGCTTTTGCGCTGCGTTCACAACAGTTATGGAAGAAGGCTCAAGATGCTGGTATTTACAAAGCCGAGATCACTCCAATGACTGTGAAAGGGAAAAAAGGCGAAGAGACGTTTGAGGTTGTAGGCTCAGTGTCATGTTTTGTACTTCACATTAGCTTGTTTCCTTTTTCAACAGCTTCGATTACGAGGTTCACTAACCATTTCCGTCAATTATTCAGTTGTTTTGGTTGAGCGCATATATTCTTTTTGAAAGTTTTCTTTGTGTAGGTGGATGAACATCCCCGACCACAGACAACCATGGAATCTTTGGCCAAACTGAAACCAGTATTTCAAAAGGACGGTCTGATCAATGCGGGTAATGCCTCGGTGGGTGTGCTGTTTGATTCTGACTTGCTATCCACACCCTATTCAAAAATTCCCGTCCTTTTTTCCAGGGTATTTGCGATGGCGCTGCGGCAATGGTCGTTGCTGGAGATGAGGCTGTTAAAGAACATAGCTTGAAGCCACTAGCTCGTGTTGTCAGCTATGCTGCTGTTGGTGAGCATTTCCAATAATTTTAGGTCTATTTGTTGCCACATGAATTTTCAAGCACTCTAGAACACTCTAAAAGCTTTCAGTAATACATGAAAGATGTATTAAGGCTGTGATCCAACGATGATGGGTATCGGACCAGCACCAGCCATACGCCAGGTACTAGCGCAAACCGGACTAAAGATCGAAGACATCGATATTTTCGAGGTTCGTTTTGAAAAGTTCACATTTGACATAGCGTCCGTAACGTCACATTTTAGGTAAATGAAGCGTTCGCTCCTCAAGCCTTAGCGGTTCAACGAGAGCTTGGTATTCCTATGGACAAGCTGAACTTAAACGGTGGTGCTATCGCCCTCGGCCATCCTCTGGGCGCCTCTGGAGCACGAATCAGTGTTCATTTAGTACATGAGCTGAAGTGAGTGTTAAGCTGTCTAGGTGTAGAGGAAATTCTCTCGTAATCAAATGGAGCTTGCAGGAGACGCCATGCAAAGTATGCTATTGGATCAGCTTGCATAGGAGGTGGCCAAGGAATTGCAGTTCTGTTTGAAAATGTCGATTGATTTTAAATCAAATTGCTATGTTTAAACTATACACAATTAACAAATAAACAAATTTATTGGTCTACAGATTGAAATTTCTTCGCTGGAGTACTTCCTCTGTAGATTCAGTTTTGTTGTCCTCATGAATTGGTGAACCATTCGCGTGGGAAATGTAGAAGGTGTCGACGAATGTTCATCCATTCAGTGGTTGAATACGCTAAGGAAGACATTCGGTGTTCACCAGTCTGCTTTGGGATGCACCACGCATTCGACTTTCATTG